TGGGAGGGAACTGGAAGAGAGGAGGGAGAGGAAACTGGTTGGTATGTAAAATAGATATAAAACTTTAATAAAGCCGGGCGTTGGTGGCTCACGCCTTTAATCCCAGACTCGGGAGGCAGAGGCAGGCGGATCTCAGGCAGAGTTCGAGGCCAGCCTGGTCTCCAGAGCGAGTGCCAGGATAGACTCCAAAACTACACAGAGAAACCCTGTCGAAAAACAAAACAAAACAAAACAAAAAAAAAACTTTAATAAAAAACAAAAGGCCATCTTGGTTACTTCCATAGCATCCATGCCACTATTACACCAGTGAGCATGCTTTGCCAGGCCTCTCACTATTATAGTTCATAAGGTTCACAACTGGAGAAGTGAAGATGGAGGTTTCTGTCCTCCCAGGTCCCGCCACCCTTCAGCCCCAAACAAGTACACAGTCACTATATTAATTATAAAACTGTTGACCGATGGCTAAGGCTTCTTATTGGATAGCTCTATCTTAATTATTAACCCCTAAGTATTAATCTATGTATTTTCACATGGTCTTGGTTTACCAGAGAATGCCCGGACCTGTTACTCCTTTGGCAGCTACATGGAATCTCCTTCTGCAGCCTCCCTCTCCAGCATTCTCCTCATCTCATAGCCCCGCCTATCTTTCTGCCTCTACTGGCCAATCGGTGTTTTATTCCTCAGCCAATAAGGGAAACATATACAGAACATCCCCCATCAGGGAAGACTGATGATGACTCATCTGCTCAAGTAGTGTGCATAGGACCCTCCCACTCCATGCAAGCTAGCCAGTAGGGATGAAACTTCCAGGTCAGCATCGCAGTCTGACTCCTCGGTGTTCTAGGACTTGGATACATGGTATCCTCAGCAAAAGGATATTATCCATCAATCTCTGGAGAGTAACCATTGGCAGTAGCTTGTCATGGTTGGTGGCCTTTTGGCCTCACTGTCCAACAACTCTGAAAGAGGTGACTCATTCCCAGTACTGGGCTAGGGCTTTGATGTCCTGTTACAGGGTAACTCCATTTAACTCTTTCTATATGTGTGTATCTGTATAATGCAGGAAGCTCCTACAGTAGTGATTTTCCATACTGCTTTTTCTAAAATCTTTAGTATTAGTTAGCCCTCCCCATAGTCTCTCCTCTACCCTGAACTCCCATCCCCCACCCCATTTAACCTTTCCTGCTCCATTTTTCCTCTTTACCTCTTTATGCCACTATATTTGATCTCCTCTCCCGTAAAAGCCCCTGCTCATGGCGCTTTAACAATTTCCTGATTTCTGTGGGTATTCCAAACGAAACACACATATCTAAAGGTTTGAAGATAACATCCACAAACGAGAGAAAACATGGGATGTTTGTCTTTGGTGTCTGGGTGACTTAAAATGATTATCCCCAGCTGGGCGGTGGTGGCACACACCTTTGATCCCAGCACTCAGGGAGACAGAGGCAGATGGATCTCTGAATTCAAGGCCAACCTGGTCTACAAAGTGAGTTCCAAAACAGCCAGAGTTATACAGAGAAACCCTGTCTCAAAAAAAAAAAAAAAAAGATTATTTCCAGCTCCATTCATTTTACCTGTGAACTTGAACTTCATCATTTTTATTTTTATTTTTTCTTTCTTTCTTTTTTTTTTTTCAGTTTCTCTGTGTAGTTTTGGAGCCTGTCCTGGCACTCCACTCCATGCAAGACCAGGCTGGCCTTGAACTCACAGAGATCCACCTGCCTCTGCCTCCCGAGTGCTGGGATTAAAGGTGTGCGCCACCAATGCCCAGCTCATTTTTATTTTTCTTAACAGTTGAATTACCCATTGTGTAAATGTGCCACATTTTCATTATCCATCCATTAATTGATGGACATCTAGGCAGTTACTATTTCCCATCTATAAGGAATAGAGCAGCAATGAATATACACGGACAGGGACCTCTGTAGCAGATATAGAGTCCTCTGGGTATATGCCCAAAAGTAATAGAGTTGAGTCACATAGTTGACATTTTTCTAGCTTTTTGAGGACCCTCCACACTGATTTCCAGAGTGGTTGTACCAGATGCATTCCCACCAGCAGAATAAGAATTCCCCTTTCCCACATCCATGCTATCATTTTGTTGTTTTGTTTTGGTTGTTGTTGTTGTTGTTTTTAATCTTAGCCATTCTGACTGTAAGATGAAATCTCAAAATTATTAATGTGCATTTCCCTGATGGTTAAGGATATTGAACTTTTAAAAAATGTTTCTCGGCTGTTTTTGTTTCATCTCTAGGAACTTTGTGTTTAGTTCCATTTGGGGGTTGGGGGTGTTTGTTGTTGTTTTCAAGACTGGGTTTCCTTGTGTAGCCCTGGCTGTCCTGGAACTTAATCTGTAGACCAGGCTAGGCTCCAACCCAGAGACGGACCTGCCGCTGCCTCCTGAGTGCTGAGATAAAAGGTACACACAACCATGCCTGACTCCATACCGAATTCCTTAATTGGGTTATTTTCTTGATGCTTAGTTTTTGTTTTTTTTTTTTCAGTTCTTTGCATAGTCTAGATAGTAACTGTCAGATATATAGCTTCCAAAGATTTTTCCTGTAGTCTTCCTCTTCCCTCAAAGGATGATGTCCTTTGTGGTAAAGAAGTTAGTATTAGGGGCTGGAGAGATGGCTCAGCGGTTAAGAGCACTGACTCTTCTTCCAGAGGACCTGAGTTCAATTCCCAGCAACCACATGGTGTCTCACAGCCACCTTGAATGAGATCTGGTGCCCTCTGCTGGCATGCAGGCAGAAGACTATATACATAATAAATAAATCTTAGAAAAATAAAAAAGTCTCCGTCTCGTGAAATTCCATTTATTAATTGTTAGCCTTAATGCTTGGGTTACTGGGGTCCTGTTCAGAGGTCTTTTCTTTGTGCCAATAATGTCGATTGTATTTAAGCCCTGCCCCACAAAACAAAACCCACACCCAGCACCATTATCAATCAGGAACCTGTGGGCAGGCAGGCCATAAGCCCTAGGGGAAGACAGTCTACCACCACTATTCTGCTTAATGTGCACAGTGTTAAACTGACCCCAGTACCTAGTGTTACATCCATAGATTAGTTCATCTCTCAGCTCTAATCAGAGAAGTTACTATTTACTGAATTTGGTGGTTAACAGGGACCCATCACTGATCAAAATTCAGAGAATGAGATCTGGGGGCAGGAATGCTCAGCCCTCAATGCGACATATAGACCATACCCCCTCCTTGAAATGCTCAGGGACCATTGCAAAAGAGGACTCAAAAAGTCTGTAGGAGCTAGAGACAGTGATGACTACAAGAAACGGAAGGACCCAGCAGGACAGCTGTGCATGGAGACTCAGAACAGTTGTGGCAGCATGTACAAGACACACGTAGGTCAAGCCAGACAGAATCTCATTACGAATCTGAGAGATGAGCATGAAGCCCACCCTAGCTAAGAAGCTATTGGCAATGGATAGCTGCTGGGAACAGGGGAGTCAGTTTTCTTCAAGGGTATGACCCCTGATAGGTTGACCACACTCCAGTGAAAGTCTGTATGACCAAAAATATATAGGCAGCACAAAATGGGCTTGATGGGTTTTTTGTTTTGTTTTGTTTTGTTTTTTCAAGACAGGGTTTCTCTGTGGCTTTGGAGGCTGTCCTGGAACTAGCTCTTGTAGACAAGGCTGGCCTCGAACTCACAGAGATCAGCCTGCCTCTGCCTCCCAAGTGCTGGGATTAAAAGCGTGTGGCACCAACGCCCCGCTGTAGGAAACTCTCAAAGAATTTCTAAAACGAAAAGCCGGGCAAAGTAGCACATTTAACTCCTGCATTCAGGAGGCAGAGGTAGAGGCAGGTGGAGCCCTATGAGTAGAGGGAAAGCCTGGTTTACAAGTTCCAGGCCAGCCAAGGTCTCCAAAGGCCAAAACCAAAATTTGAAAAAGGGTTGCTTTAACCAAGCATGGTGGTGCATGCCTGTGATCTTTTAAGAGGTAGATGAAAGTTCAGGAAATCAAGGTCAACCTCGGCTACAAAGTTCAAAGCCAGTCTAGGATGCATGGGACCCTATCTCAAAAAACAAAACAAGGAGGGTCCAAAGGAGGGAGAGACTGTGCCACCTTTTCCACAACAGTCCTTGACCCCCAAGGACAGCCCACTGAGCTTGGGAGTCATCAGGCTCTTGCCTACAGGTCCATTTTTAAGTGTCCAGGAGGCCCAACCACTTGCTGTTCTTCCAACCTCTTGTTTTCTCACCCAAGCCCAAGTTGAACAAAAAAGCTTTGCTCTTCTCCAGGGCCTTTGCCAGCCCGGGTATTTCCATCCTTTTGAGGGAAGGGCGTGAGGGGAAGAGGACAGACGAAAGGAGGGAGGGGAGAAAGATGCTTCCCACAAACTGTTCCATGGATTAATACATTTAAAGTAGAATCCTGGCCGGGCGTTGGTGGTGCACGCCTTGTATCCCAGCACTCGGGAGGCAGAGGCAGGCGGATCTCAGGCAGAGTTCGAGGCCAGCCTGGTCTCCAGAGCGAGTGCCAGGATAGGCTCCAAAGCCACACAGAGAAACCCTGTCTCGAAAAACCAAAAACAAAAAAAAAAAAAAAAAAAAAAGAAAAAAAAAAAAAAAAAAAAAAAAAAAGAAAGAAAGAAAAAAATAGAATCCTGTCCCAAGGACCTTGACCGCACGCGCTTTGGAGAGATCGATTCCAGTCTCAGATCCAGCATTTGTCAAATTGTTTACAGTTCTGAGCCTCGCTTTTCAAATCTGTAAAACGGAGATTGTCTACAAGCAAGGCGATGCGCACAGGTCCCAAGAACAACAAGCGTAGCTGGACTACCGAGGTAACCTCTCCTCCGCAGACACCAAGCACCACCCCGCTCTCCGCCACGCGCAGGCGCGCTCGCCAGCGCATCTGTAAGCATGCGCAAACGACCGGAAACCCCCCGCCGCAGCCTGCGGTGAAGAGGCGGGGCCTACGCAGTGGGCCTGCGCCGCACGCCTTCGTGCGTCGCGAGGGTGGGCGGGGCCGCGCAAGCGCGCTGCCCGTCCCGGCTCTGGAGCATAAACAAGAGTGGGGACGGGATGAGGCGGCGGTTGGTCCCCGCGCAGCGAGAGGAGGCAGTCGAGGCAAAGAGCCGAACCGGGCGCAGGTCCTGAGTGTAGAGCGCTCCCGCGGGCCGCCCGAGTTGCGCCGCGCGCGCTCCCGCGAAGGCGGTCCGAGCCCGTCGCGCGCGCGCAGCCATGAACCTGGCGAGCCAGAGCGGGGAGGCCGGCGCCGGCCAGCTGCTGTTCGCCAACTTCAACCAGGATAACACGTAAGGCCGGGCTTGGGCACGGGGCTGGGTCAGAGGTCAGGGCTTGGATCAAGTTGGGGGTGTCTAAGGGGGACCCTGAGCCCGCGCGGCCGCTCGAGCGCTGCTGCCTCCTGGGCCGGGAGAGGTGATGGAACTCGAGGTGTTCCCATCCACCTGTCCTCAGACCTGGCCTTTTGCAGAGTTGGGAAGGAACTGTGCACGCCCGCCGGTTTGTGCCGGTCACCCGGAATAGGTTTCTCGGCCGGCCTGGGCATCGCCCGCCTCCCTGTTTCTCTGCGTCTTAGGTGCCTCTTTTATCGCTTCTCATGTTTTTTCTATTCCTTTTTTTTCTTTTTCTCTTGCTTCTTCCCTGCTGTTATTTCTGGTAGATAATTTTGCCTCCTCCAAACAAGAATCAAACAGCAGAAACCCAGACCTTCGTTCTAGAGAGACTTTGTCCTCAAGGGGTCTGGGTGCTCCAGGGGGAGATGAGGGGATAAGGTGGGCTATTCCTGGGGTAAAAGAGAACCTTCATGCGGTCCCCTGTTTTACCAGGCTGATCTGCTATATAGGTCCCAGTGGGGTTCCTCAAGGTCCCCTGGTCGGCATACCTGGGAGGCGGTTAATAGATGAGGTTCCTGAGGAAGGAAGGATGAGTTATGGGACTGGAAGGGAGAAGAGCCATCTTGGGAAGTGAGTAAGAGGAAGTGATGTAAGAGGAGAAGGAATGGGTCACTTGGCATCACACTAAGTAGTTGGCTGCCACTGGCAGAATAGCACTAGCAAGGTAGAGTAAGGTTTTTGTTTTTCCTCAATTAAAAGTTAAATTGGAGAATGGCAAGCACCTGAAGGGAGGTGCAACAGGTGCTCAGTTGGACTTTTCTTGATATTCTCAAGATCAGGGAGCTGTCCTAAGATTTGGAAGGAAGGTGGGTCACCTGGTCCATCCACAGATGAGATAAGTGAAGTTCAGAAAGGTCTGGTGCCTTTCTGGATCTTATGGTTGGTTGATAGTGGGATGGGGCTGGAGTGGGGTTTTGTCTCCCGAGCGTTCTTTCTCTCCTACCACACTGGGTCTTTCTACCTACAGAACAGAATTCTAAAGACACTGAGTCTAGAAGTATAGTGGATCTGTAAAAGTATGCTAGAGAGATAACTCAATGGATAAAGCGCTTGTCACACAACAGTGAGGACCAGAGTCAAGATCCCAGCACCCACAGAAAAGCTAAGCAGCTATCTGTAATCTCTGAACTCTTGATGTGGAGAGAGGAGATCCCTGGCTAATTAGATTAGCAGAGTCAGTGAACTCTGGGATTCAGGAAGAGACCCTATGTAAGTAAATAAAGTGGGGAATAGAGGAAGACAGGCACTTAATTGTGACCTCACTCAAAAAACACATACACATTTCAGCCTGCTGAATGCTGTGTTGTGTATGCCCTAAACCCAGCACAACAAACGCTATCAGGACAACCTGTTGCAGTTTGTCTAGTGAAAAAGCATTGCTATCTGGGTGGGAGGAAAGCAGTTCCAATCAGTAGCAATTTGGGTCCTGTGCCATTAGGATTGGGGGACCAATAGGAAATACTAATAATACAAGGTATCTATCCATCCATCCATCTATCCATCCATCCACCCATTTTGAGGGTTTCTCTGTAGCCCTGGTTGTCTTAGAATTTACCATGTAGATCTTGATGTCCTTAAATCAGATCTGTCTGCCTCTGCCTCCTGAGTGCTGGGATTACAGGTGTGTGCCACTGAGTCCAGCTATCTACATTACAACATTTTATGTCTTGCTTGAAATGGAGAATTTTAAGAACAGTTTCTTCATCTGCTGCTGTCACTCTAGCCTGAACAGGACCTTTCCATACCCCTCCTTAGCCCTGAATATACTAGTTCATGAAGTTATTAGTTCAGAACAAGACTTGTTGTCATTTTTGACATATCAAAGAGACCTTGAAACATAGAGGCTTAAGTTAAGGAATTCCAGGTTAGGGATGTATTGAGTTCAATGGAGTGACATGACTGTTAAAGCTACAGGAGAAAGAAATAGGAAAGGTTCCATGGAAGAGCTTCTGCATATTTTGAGACAGGGTTTCTCTGTGTAGCTTTGTACCGGTCCTGGAACTCACTCTGTAGACCAGGCTGGCCTTGAACTCACAGAGATCCGCGTGCCTCTGCCTCCTGAGTGCTGGGATTAAAGGTGTGTGCCACCAACAGCCCAGCTGGCTTCTGCATCTTAAACGAGGAACCAGGACCCAGTGTGATGGTACACACCTTTAGCCCAGCACTTGGGAGACAGAGGCAGGAAGATCTCTTGAGTTCAAGACCAGCCTGGTCTACAGAGTTTTAGTGCAGCCAGGACTAAATAGACTAGTGGTTTTCAACCTGTGGGTCAGGACCCCTTTGGGGTCACATATCAAATATTTACATTACAATTCATAACTAACAAAATTGCAGGGTTTTTTGGGGGGGCAGGGTTTCTCTGGCTTTGTAGCCTATCCTGGCACTCTGTAGACTAGACTGGCCTTGAATTCACAGAAATCCGCCTGCCTCTCTCTCCCAATTGCTGGGATTAAAGGAGTGAGCCACTACCGCCTAGAGATAGAGCATCAAAAATAGTTTTAAGGCTGGGCAGTGGTGGTGCACACCTTTAGTCCACAGAATTCCAGGACAGGCTTCAAAGCTATAGGAAAATTCTGTCTCGAAAACTTAATAATAATTATTATTTTACAGTTGGAGGTCACCTGAACATCAGGAACTGTATTAAGAGGTTGCAGCATTAGGGAGGTTGAGAACCACTGAAATAGAAAG